TTTTTTTTTTTTTTTTTTTTTTTTTTTCAAGCTCCCTAAAGATTGAATCTCCATTCAATCTGAGATTCATCATCCACAAATGCACACTCATGGTCAGGGAACTGAGGAGGGCGGGCTGGACACATCACAGGGAGAAGGCCTCTGCCTGGACCCTTGGAAGAGGGGAAGGGAAGCAGAGTGCTGCTTTCAGGCTCTCTGATGGTTCTGAAGACCACCTCTCTGTCATCTCCATCTCTATCCCCTGTCCAAGGCCACCCTTCACTGTAGCCCCTACATCAGAGGGGAAAGATGATGCAGCCAGCTCCTCCAGGCTAGTTGTACAAAGCTGACGTTTAGTCAAGACTTCCTTTGTGCCATGCGCTGTGCTAAGCACTTTCCAAAACTGGTCTTGTTTAATTCCTATAACAATATATACAGCCCCTATATGACCAGTTTGGAAACTGAGTCTCAGAGAGGCCACGTAACTTGTGAGTTACACAGGCCACCCAGCTGGTAAGTGGCAAAAGGAGGATTCCAACCCGAGCTGACCCAGCTGTTCAGGACTCACATTCACAACCTCCAGAGCTGCTGCCTGTGAGCCCGTCCATTCATCCATGCATCCACTCATTGAACAAATATTTATTTGTCAGTGCAACATCGTCCCACGTTCTCTTCCATACCCAAGGAATGGAGAGAAGCCTGCGAGGGCCAGGTTTCCAGAAATAACCCTTCTCAGTCACAGCCTCTCTTGTGCTCCTCCCCTACTCAGAAGCCTGCAGTGTTTCCTATAGTGGCGTCAAGTCCATGTGTGGCCTGTTTCATCAGGGCTGCCAAGCATCCCCTCCATGGTTAGGGGAGGGAGTAAGAACTCTATTCCTTCCTCTATATATCCACTTGCCAGACAGTCCCCAAGCACCAACTCTGTGCTGGCCCTGATTGGGCACTGGCAGAGCTTCTGCATACAGCTATCTAGGTTGTGCACTGCTCAAGTTTAGGGCATACCAGTCATATCAATGTCTTGCTCCTCCCAGAACAGCGTATCAGGCCTTTCTGGCAGAGAAGCCCCTCTCAATCAGGGAATGCCCTGATCCTTGGCCAACAGATAGCAGAGGCAGATGTCCCAGCCTCCCCAGAATCCCTCTGGGTTCAGCCTCCGTTGATGCCTCCATTTTCCTCAGAAGGAGGGCTGATAACTCGTCAGTGGCTCTAGAATCCATGTGGCTGGGCTAAAACCTGCAGGAAATTAGTCTCCTCGTGCTAGACTCTCCATCTGGCCAGTTCAGAAGTCAGCTAGGCCCTGTGTCCTGTGCTTTGGGCCTGGGTTGGTGAAGACAGAGTGATGAAGGGGGCACCCCTTGTGAGCAAGGGCTTGGAGGTTAGAATCACACCAGTGGATTGTGGGGAAAGAGCAGGTATTCTTACTCATGGCCTCAGCGTCCTCAGTGGTCCATGGCTTCCTCTCCCACCCCACCCACACGCTGAAGGCCACAGCACTGGAGCAGGTTAGAGAGGCAACGTGTCGGGAATGGAAGAACATGAGGAGGCGATGTGGTGAGGAGGGACGGCACATCTTTATGTTCAAGGCTCCAGAAACCTGTGCTGGGCACCTACTTTGTGCCAGGCAGCAGGGGCCCAGGAATGACAGAGGTGCTGTCCCTGAACTCAGGGAGCTCTCTGTCTCGTTCAAGGACACGTCAGAAATGCTGGCCCCAGGCCATGCGGCTGACTGTGGACATGGGGCCGAGAGCTGGGAAATATGGATAGCTCCAAGCCACGTTGTTGAACAAACCGTTGTTATGGAAGGAAGCCTTGGTCCCGGAGTTGAAATTTTCAAGAAGGGATGGAGGGTTTGGGTTACGTCCTGAGCAGCGGTGGAGCTGGGGATGCAGAGATAGTGGTGGCAACAGAAAGTGGCCAGCCAGGGCTGATACGCTGGGAGAACCAAAGGTTATGATGACCCCTCCTCTGACCTCTGTAGGGTGGTGTGGGCTGAAAGGTGTCCACGACAACACCCATCATCTCATGCAATCCCCCGCAATACCATCAGCCCCATCTTATAAATGAGGAAAACTGGACTCAGAAAAGTTAAGTAACTTGGCCAAAGTCACACAGCATCAGAACAGGGCCTGAAGCCCAGGTCAGCCTTTTTGCTACATCGGGCAGACAGCTCAGCTGACCCTCCACACCTGCTTGCTGAACCAGATTCCCTGTACGTGCCAGTGACAGGGTCAGTGCTACAGTGAGAGCCTCCCAGGACTTCTGTGTCCGGAAGCCGAGGTTCAACGAGACAGAGACGCGGGAGTGATACGTGTGTGAGGGTGGCGTCCAGGGCTCCAGCCTGGCTCTGCCATGTAGTTAGCTGCGTGGCTCTCCACCTATCTCTGGATCTTTCGCTCTTCTTTCTTTATTTGTGAAACTGGGATAACAACAGTCATCTCAAAGCATCTTGGAACTGATGAGAAGCATCGATTACCTGAATAAAGGTAAGTTACCCAGCCCCACACTGGGCTGTGTGTGTTTATTGAAAAGCCACTCTGCTCCAGGAAGAACTGAAGGCAGCAGTCTCTGTCTTGCCTTTACAGCTGCCCAACTTTATCAACACCACGCTTCCGCCGCACGAGCAGGTCACCGCCCAGGAGATCGACAGTTACTTCCGCCAGGAACTCATCTACAAGAGGAACGAGCGGATGGGGAAGAGGGTCGTGACTCTTCTGCAGGAGAACGAAGACAAGATCTGCTTCTTTGCCTTCGGAGCAGGTCTGGGCCGCAGTGGGGGAGGGGGATTACTTGCCAAATCCTTAAGGGCTGGGGGGGGCTGCTGGACCCTCTTCTGACCTCTTCCTCATAAAGGGAAAAGTTGAGTCCCCGCGTGAGCAGGAAGAGCCACATAGTGTTCAGCAGAGCTGGGATCCAAAGCAGGTCCCCTGCTTCTGGTCGAGGGTTCTTTTGTGACAGTCCCCATGGACAAGGGCAGTGACCACTCTGCCAAAACCAGGATAACTTCTGTGGCTCCTTCATGCCCCAGGAGGCCATGCTGAGAGCCCAGCTCCCGGTGTCCAGCCCAGGCTTGGGCCCGCGCCTCAGAGCCAAGGCCAAGTCAGTGAGGGCCACGTGGCCCAGTGGGGAGAAGGCGGCTCTGGCATCCCACAGCCCTGGCTCTAAATCCCAGCCCAGCCCCCTCCGGACTGCATGGCTTCGGAGGGGACCTTCTCAAGGGCTCAAGCCCCTCTTCTATGAACGGGCAGTGATAACAATAATTATGTGATGAACTGAAAAGACCTACCTTGTAGAATAGTTGCAAAGATTAGTACCACATAGTTGGAACTCGAAATGGCAGCCACAGCGATCGGCATCATTACGATGAGGACGATTAATACAAATTCTATCACCACCATATGGACCGTGAGCTTGATGCTCCTTCGGGGGCTCTGGGAAGTCCAGACACGCAGGTACAGGTACAGGACTTGCTCAGCGTCTCTCTCCCTGTTGCTCTCCTGCTTCTTCTGCCTCACTCTGTCTTCCTTTCTCCATGGCTGTCTCTCCTGATGACAGTGCTGTCCACCTGGGGACCAAGATACTGCATTTGCCTCCTTCATTTATCAGCTTTTGCTCCGGTGCTACAGTGACAAACGTATTTCTTGCTCACGTTGCTTGCAACTTGGGCTGAACGAGTTCACCTCCTGTTTTGTGAGAATTAAATGAGGTGGCTGGCGGGCGTCGCACTCGTGGGCGTTGTGCTCACTGGCGCTGTCCTCTCTCTGCCCTCCCTTCCCTGCCCCGCTACCCACACGCTGCCTGCCTGCGTCAGGCTGAGTTGGATCAAGCTGAGCAGCCTGTCTAACGCAGAAGGGCCTGTATGGACATCCTGATTCATAACAGGGCGTGTCCACTGCTGGAGGTCTGCCTCACCCACCCCGCACTGTTCAACCCCAAATACTTCAAGGGCAAGATCCAGGGTTTGTGTGTCTGCACCTGTCTTCCCTCCCCTTCAGCTCTCAGCACGGCAGAGGCGTATGGGAGGGCCTCAGAAACGCAGGACCTCTGGGACAGCCTCTATAAGACCACACCTGCAGCTGGACGGAGACTTCTGGGCTCACGTTGCAGCTGTGCCACGGCCTGATGTGGCCTCTTCCCTCCCCTCTGGCAGCCTCAGTTCACTCATCTGAGCAGAAAGACCCAGGACTCACTTGGGCCATCTGCGATTCTAGGAGCTCTTCAAACAGATTTCTGAGAAGAGCGAGGTTCCTGTAGCGGTGGGAGGGGCTGCCTGAAGGAGCCAGTTGAAGCAGGACTTCGACTGCATGACACCTGCTGGGGACCTGGCGTGAGTCAGAACAGATCTGGGGACCCTGCAGAGAAGCAAGTGCTCCCCAGCACGCACTCTCCCTCACTCACCATCCCAGCAGGCTCCCCAGCCCTCCCTCCTATGGGCATCTGGGCAGTGTATCCTGTGCTAAACCGGCCCACAGCTGACCACAAAAGGGGCACCACTGGGAACTCAACTAGCCCTCAGGCTCCTCCCCTAACGTGAGCCCCTAGAGAGACCGGTCACTGAGGGAGGCCAGTAAGGGATCCAGCATTCTCCATGCTCTACCTGCCCCACCTGCTGCAGGGCTCAGGACCATTCACCCAGGGGCTGGGGGTAGCTAATACCTGCTTCTTCCTGTGGGTGTGGAAACAGGAGAGCCTAGAGACGAAAATTACAATGGCCCAGGCAACCACTGACACTGAAACCCCAAGTACACCGCAGCACAAATGTCCACTCAGGCACCAGGCCAGCACGCAGGCTTCCTACCCACCTCCAGTTTCTTCCCCATCTCTGAAATCCAGCTGATTCCTGGTCAGTTTTTTGTTTTGTTTTGTTTTTTCTGTTTTTTTTTTTAACGTCTTTATTGGAGTATAATTACTTTACAATGTTGTGTTACTTTCTGCTGTATAACAAAGTCAATCAGCTATATGTATACATATATCCCCATATCCCCTCCCTCTTGCGTCTCCCACCCTCCCTATCCCACCCCTCCAGGCGGTCACAAAGCACCGAGCTGATCTCCCTGTGCTATGCAGCTGCTTCCCACTAGCTATCTGTTTTACATTTGGTAGTGTACATATGTCCATGCCACTCTCTCATATCATCCCAGCTTACCCTTCCGTCACCCCGTGTCCTCAAGTCCATTCTCTACATTTACGTCTTTATTCCTGCCCTGCCCCTAGGTTCATCAGGACCAGTTTTTGTTTTAGAATCCATATACATGTGTTAGCGTACGGTATTTGTCTTTCTCTTTCTGACTTACTTCACTCTGTATGACAGACTCTAGGTCTATCCACCTCACTACAAATAACTCAATTTTGTTTCTTTTTATGCTGAGTAATATTCCATCGTGCCACATCTTCTTTATCAGTTCATAAGTCGATGGACACTTAGGTTGCTTCCATGTCCTGGCTATTGTAAATAGAGCTGCAATGAACATTGTGGTACATGATTCTTTTTGAATGATGGTTTTCTCAGCGTATATGCCCAGTAGTGGGATTGCTGGGTCATATGGTAGTACTATTTTTAGTTTTCTAAGGAACCTCCATACTGTTCTCCATAGTGGCTGTATCAATTTACATTCCCACCAACAGTGCAGGAAGGTTCGCTTTTCTCCACACCCTCTCCAGCATTTATTGTTTCTAGATTTTTTGATGATGGCCATTCTGACTGGTGTGAGGTAATACCTCATTGTAGTTTTGATTTGCATTTCTCTAATGATTAGTGATGTTGAGCATCCTTTCATGTGTTTGTTGGCAATCTGTATATCTTCTTTGGAGAAATGTCTATTTAGGTCTTCTGCCCATTTTTAGATTGGGTTTTTTGTTTTTTTGATATTGAGCTGCATGAGCTGCTTGTAAATTTTGGAGATTAATCCTTTGTCAGTTGCTTCGTTTGCAAATATTTTCTCCCATTCTGAGGGTAGTATTTTCATCTTGTTTATGGTTTCCTTTGCTGTGCAAAAGCTTTTAAGTTTCATTAGGTCCCACTTGTTTATTTTTGTTTTTATTTCCATTTCTCTAGGAGGTGGGTCAAAAAGGATCTTGCTGTGATTTATGTCATAGAGTGTTCTGCCTATGTTTTCCTCTAAGAGTTTTATAGTGTCTGGCCTTACATTTAGGTCTTTAACCCATCTGGAGTTTATTTTTGTGTGTGGTGTTAGGGAGTGTTCTAATTTCATTCTTTTACATGTAGCTGTCCAATTTTCCCAACACCACTTATTGAAGAGGCTGTCTTTTCTCCTTTGTATATTCTTGCCTCCTTTATCAAAGATAAGGTGACCGGGCTTCCCTGGTGGCGCAGTGGTTGAGAGTCCACCTGCCGATGCAGGGGACACGGGTTCGTGCTCCAGTCCAGGAAGATCCCACATGCCGTGGAGCGGCTGGGCCCATGAGCCATGGCCGCTGAGCCTGCGCGTCTGGAGCCTGTGCTCTGCAATGGGAGAGGCCACAACAGTGAGAGGCCCACGTACTGCAAAAAAATAAAAAAATAAAGGTGACCGTATGTGCGTGGGTTTATCTCTGGGCTTTCTATCCTGTTCCACTGATCCATATTTCTGTTTTCTGCCAGTACCATATTGTCTTGATTACTGTAGCTTTGTAATATAGTCTGAAGTCCAGGAACCTGATTCCTCCAGCTCTGTTTTTCTTTCTCAAGATTGCTTTGGCTATTCAGTGTCTTTGGTGTTTCCATACAAATTGTGAAATTTTTTGTTCTAGTTCTGTGAAAAATGCCATTGGTCGTTTGATAGGGATTGCACTGAATCTGTAGATTGCTTCAGGTAGTATAGTCATTTTCACAATGTTGATTCTTCCAATCCAAGAACATGCTATATCTCTCCATCTGTTTGTATCATCTTTAATTTCTTTCATCAGTGTCTTGTAGTTTTCCGTATACAGGTCTTTTTTCTCTTTAGGTAGGTTTATTTCGAGGTATTTTATTCTTTTTGTTGTAATGGTAAATGGGAGTGTTTCCTTAATTTCTCTTTCAGATTTTTCATCATTAGTGTATAGGAATGCAAGAGATTTCTGTGCGTTAATTTTGTATCCTGCTACTTTACCAGATTCATTGATAAGCTCTAGTAGTTTTCTGGTAGCATCTTTAGGATTCTCTATGTATAGCATCATGTCATCTGCAAACAGTGACAGCTTTACTTCTTCTTTTCCAATTTGGATTCCTTTTTTTTTTTTTTCTTCTCTGATTGCTGTGGCTAAAACTTCCTAAACTCTGTTGAATAATAGTGGTGAGAGTGGGCAACCTTGTCTTGTTCCTGATCTTAAAGGAAGTGGTTTCAGTTTTCACCATTGAGAATGATGTTTGCTGTGAATTTGTCATATATGGCCTTTATTATGTTGAAGTAGGTTCCCTCTATGCCTACTTTCTGGAGAGTTTTTATCATAAATGGGTTTTGAATTTTGTCAAAAGCTTCTTCTGCATCTATTGAGATGCTCATATGGTTTTTCTCCTTCAATTTGTTAACATGGTGTATCACATTGATTGATTTGCGTATATTGAAGAATCCTTGCATTCCCGGGATAAGCCCCACTTGATCATGGTGTATGATCCTTTTAATGTGCTGTTGGATTCTGTTGGCTAGCAGTTTGTTGAGAATTTTTGCATCTTTGTTCATCAGTGATATTGGCCTGTAATTTTCTTTTTTTGTGACATCTTCATCTGGTTTTGGTATCAGGGCGATGGTGGCCTCGTAGAATGAGTTTGGGAGTGTTCC